GTCTCAGCAAGAGAAATGAGAGGAGAAAAAGAAAGAAAGAAAGCAAAGGAAGAAAGCCACTCCTTCCAGGTGTGTGCTAGCACGAAGATGCAGGGCCTGCTCCTGGGAAGGGTCCATGTGTCCTGTTAGCCCAGCACAGTGCCAATAATCCCAGCTACTCTGGAGGCTGAGGCAAGAGGATCACTTGAGCCCTGGGGTTTAAGATTGGCCTGAGCAATATAGCAAGACCCTATCTTTCTCTTTCTTGTGGTGCTGGGGATTGAGCCCAGGGCCTTGTTCATTGGAGGCAAGCACTCTACCAACTAAGGTGTATCCCCAGCCCCAAGACCCCATCTCAACAACAAAAACACTAGGCTCTCCCAGTGTTTGGTACTGGACAGAGACCAATGATTGTCTTGGTGTCCGTGAAAACTCTGAAAGCAGGACTAGGATCACCCAGCTCCACCAACCTCTTACCAATATCCAGAGAGTCTCAGGGATCTGCAGGGTCCAAGTTTTGATTTGTTTTGCTTTGTTGGTACTGGGGATGGAACCCAGGGGCATTCTACCACCAAGCTACATCCCAGGTCTTTTGTAGATAATGCCAGGGGAAATTGCTGAGGCTGACCTTGAACTTATGATCCTCCTGCCGCAGAATCCCAAGTTGCTGGGATTACAGGCATGAGCCACTATGCCCTTGTAGTAGCCAAGTTTCAACAGGCCTTTGCCATCTGGGTAGCAACCAAGGCTGGACACAGCGTCCAGGTATGAAAAAAGAATGAATGCTATCAGAGGTGATTCCTACAGTGCGTGTCCAGCCAGGCTGCCCTGTTCTGCATGCTGCACACTTTCTCCTCCCCAAAGCTCAAGGTTCTGTGACTGTCCTCATCCTGCATTTGGAGAAATAGAGGCTCAGGGATGAAAGAAGTACCTCAGTAGCCCGGATTAGAACTGCAGACTGGCTGTCCTCATGCAGAGCTGACACATCTCCCAGGAGATGAACGCTGTCACGTGGGGTTGGGGAGTAGGGCTCTAGGCGACCTTGGATAGATTCGAATAGGGTGCTGGGTTGGAGGAATTTCACCTCCTCTCTTCCCTAACCCGCCAGACCTGTGGAACATCAGTCACAGTTTGTCCAGTATGAGCCCTGTAAGTTCCATGTTCCTGTTTTCTTGGTTCCATTGGTCACTATGCCTATGGTCTTAGTCTGTCCCTGGACCAGCTGGGGGGAAGGTCAAATGGCCTTCAAGACACAGGCTGGGAGGCCTTTTCAATTACATTAGCTTCTGGCATCGCTAGAGGGAGATGCTAGCCCTACCCTACCCTCCTCTCTTCCTGTGGCTCAGTAGGAGATGGTGATTCAGCAGCAAGTCCGAAGGCGGCTAGACTGTTACCTCCTGGGAGGGGAGTCACTGGTAGGATAGGGGCTGTCAGCACCGCTCAGGGCAAGCCTTGGAGCAAAGAAGGGTTGTGGGGAGGGGATCTTGAGCTGTGAGGGAACTGGACTCCAACAGAAGGCCTTGCCCTCCTGCCCAGGCCAGGACTGGTTGCAAGGCCCTTGGGGGTGGGTGTGCCAGGGGTGGGGGCCCTGGTATGTGAGGGTTGGGGGGATTCCCAGCCACTGGATACCTAAGCTGCTTCTCAGCATATTCGGCAGCTAAAAATACAAAATGGCTTTGCTAAAAGGTGCCCAACCGGAAACCTCTAAGAGGTTTCCTATTAGGGCAGCGCCTGCTTGGGCTGGAGGCCAGATACCGAGTGAAGGATTCCTCGGCCTGCCATCCCGCCATTCAGTCTCAGCCTGGCTGCCCCCACCGCAAGCGCTCAGCCTCATTCAGCCTCACTCATTAACCCCACGTGCTTGTCAGGCCCCAGGGCTCTGCCTTCCACTCTGGCACCCACTGCTGGGGGGAGGGGTGTTCACTGGGGGTTTGCCCAACCCAGCCCTCCCTGACATTGACCCAGTTCCCCAGCATCTCTAAACCTTGTTCTTCTCACCTGCAAGAAGAGACTGCTCCACTTGCAGGGAGCGATAGAGAAGCCCTTGGTGGGGTGGGCTCCCCACTCTGGTTGAAGGCCAGGCAGGCCAAGGGATTTGTCTGGAAGCTTCTTTGGCATGCCAAGCACACTATTCTTACTTAGTGTGGATGTGTCTTAGGGGTGGCTGGGGCCCAGTGGAGATTATGCAACACTGGCAAGCCTCAGAATCCCCAGGGAAGCTTTCTGGAGATGAAGGTAATGGGGGTGGGGGTTAGCCAGCTTTCTAGATGATTACATTGAGTGGCCAGGCTTAGACTGGCACAAAGCCACTCAAGGCATATGAGTTATGTCCCTTCTACACTCCGGAGCCTCAGTGTACTCCCCTGTCACAAGGGAATAGCCTCCCTACCTCCCTGCTGGGAGCTAGAAGAGAATCCTGAACAGCCCACAGCTGCATAAACAATGGGGAGAAGGGGGCATCACTGTGAGGAAGTGACCCCCTGTCTGGATTGCTGGTGTCCCCAGGAATGGTGGGTGGCTGTGGAGTCCCAAGCCCAGGAGGCTTCTCCCAGCAGGTCCAGCAGGAAAATGGCGGGACAGAGAATAGCTCCTCATTGCCAGTCATTCCCTGCCCTTCCCTGGTGGCCCAGCCTTGCTCAGCAAAAAAGCCTGAAAAGCTAATTCCCTCCTTGGGCACAGAGAGCCCCCTGGGTGGATGCAGCCACCATATTGTAATCTCCTCCCCATACTTGAGCTCCAAGACAGCATTGCCAGGCAGACCTGGACAGTGTCTGCCCAGCCTCTCTTCTGGCTCAGAAAGAGGAACATGTTGGTTGGGAGTTGGGGGATTCCCCCTCCCCCTTTCCTGATGCCTTTTAGAGAAACAGTTTCAACAGATTCTCATCCAGAATTTTTTTATTCCTGCTGGTGGGTTTATAAATAACAGCCCTTCCCCCATTGGGTGACCTTGGGCACTGCTAAACCTGTTTCTTCATCTGAAAAATGGGGATGATAACCCCTTCCTCTTAGTGTGGCTGGAGGGTTGGCATACCAAGGGGGTTCTCAGACAAGATGAGGGGGAAGAATAGGGATTAGAAATGAAACTTTTTAGGGCTGGGGTTAGCTCAGTGGTAGAGCGCTTGCCTTGTATGTGTGAGGCCCTGGGTTCGATCCTCAGCACCACATAAAAATAAATAAATAAAAATATTGTGTCCATCTACAACTAAAAAAATAAAAAAGAAAAAAAGAAATGAAAAACTTCCTAGACTTTGCCCCAGCATGCCAGTGTAACGGGCTCAGAGCCCAGACTTTGGGAAATGTAGGAGATTGTGTATGGGAGTGTCATCCCTGGCTGTACAGGTGGATTACCTTGCAGCTTAACAAGCACCCAGTGGTCCAGGTCATCCCTAGGCCTCTAGAATGGGAACTCAGAGTCTTCATGAGGTTGAAGTTGTTGCCTGTAATCTGTCCCTTCTCCAAGAGACTTCCTTTCCAGCAGGCAGATCTAGCTGACTAGTTTGGACCAAAGATGGACAGCAGGGAGGTATTTCCTCCAGTCTCCAGATAGACCCCATGGCAGCCTGCCAGTGTCTACGTGCTAACACAACTTCAGCACTGTAAGCCAGGGCACAATGGCACATGCCTGTAATCCCAGCGACTCTTGAAGCTGAGACAGAAGGATCTCAAGTTCAAGGCCAGCCTGGGCAATTTAGCAAAACCCTGTCTCAAATAAAAAGGGCTCAGTGATAGAGCACCCACCCCTGGGTTCAATTCCCAGTACTGCAAAACAAAAACCCAAAGCATCTCAGGGGTCCAGAAGTTCAGTTTAGGAAAGCCACTCTCCTTCCTGGGTCCCTTGAAGATTGGGGAAGGTGTGGGGGCAGGATTTGGGAAACCTGCCTGATCCTGAATCTGGGTTAATCTCTCCCTGGAGGGCAGGGGAGCCTCCAAGCCAGGAGTGGCGGTTGGGAGGGGTAAGAGTCTGAGGTCATCTAACAGTTATTGTCAGTGATAGATTTTCAATCCAGTACTCCTTCAGAAACTCAACCCCCATCCCTACCATTCCTGGCCTCCCAGTTACCCCTGCAGTATGTTATACCCCACTAACTGCCCAGATTGCCCAGCCTTAGCCTTTAAGAAGAAAGACAGCTGAGTTTAACATTGACCCCACAGCCAGTGTTTATCCTTCACCTTTGCTGAGCCCAGGAGAAGGTGGGGGGTGGGGGAGGAAAGGAGCCATAGTGTGCCCTAAGGCACACTTTAATCTAAGGGTCAAGGGGGTGGGACATGCCTGTAAATTCCAGCAACTCTGGTAGGCTGAGGCAGGAGGATCACAAGTTCAAGGCCGATCTCAGCAATTTAGTGAGACCCTATCTCAAATATAAATAGCTCAAAAATAAATAGCCAGGGAGGTAACTCAGAAGTGGACTGCCCCTGGGTTCCATACCCAGTACCAGAAGAAAAATAAAAATAACAAGGTTACACAAATCTGTTAAGGGGCTGGGGGTGTTGAGGAAGACGCATGGAGCAGGTGACATTTCAGTCGTGACTAGGAGGCTGAGTGGGATGGGGCAAGTGATGGAAAGAACTGGGAGGCAGAACGCTCCAGGGGTGGGGAGCCGCATCACAGCGCAGGTCCGGGTCTAGGTTTTAGGCTCCTTCTTGGAGCCTCAGTTTCCCTGCTCACCAAGTGTTTGGGCAGCGGCTTGCACCTCGGTCCTCCGAGGATTGGGGAAGGTGAACCCTCGTTGGCGGGCCGGGCTGGGGCGTGGCGGTCAGGGGTGCGGGCTGCGGGGCGGGGCGGGGTGGGGCGGGGCGATGGCTCCCGGAGGCCGGGCTGGCGGGGCCACCCGCGGGCAGCGCCGCGCGCAGTGCGTGCAGCTGCGGAGCGCTCGGCTTGCTGAGCCGCGGGCATCACATGAGCAGAGGCGCCGGGACCGACCGCAGCCCGCTTGTGGGTGCCCCGGCAGCCTGAGACCCGCAGCCCTGCGGCCCCCCCGCCCGACCCTAACCATGTCTGTCTGTTGTTGCTTCTTTTTCAGAGATTATGGCAGTTCCAAGAGGAAATCAGGTAAGGGAGCCTCCGGGCGTTTTTCTCTCCAACCTCTCTGCCCCTTGCATGTGCCCGTCTGATCCTGCGGAGGACTTTCTGGGGGGTTGTCCTTGCCCGCTGGCGCTTTGGTCCTGAGAAGCCAGGGATATTCCAGGTGCCCCCTCCTTAGCCCTTGCCCCCTGAGATCTCTCCCACCGGGTCCCCTGGGCTCCCGGGTGGGAGCGGAGGTGGATGCATGGGGAGTGTGGGGTTGTCTCGTGACGGGTCCAAGCCCCCACAGCGATGGCAGGCAGATCCCTCCCCCTTCCCCCGGGCTGCGGTGGCCACTGCTGGGCAGCTCCTTCCCGTGGTGCGGCGGTGATGGAAGGGTTAATAGAGACGGGCCTTTTTCCCCTGAGAAGGACTGGAAAGCGGTCATCCTTGAGTGACTTGAGTTTTTAGCACCTGTATGGTGGACCTTCCCCTTCCCCAGATGCGAGCGCGTTCACCTTGCTGCAAGCTGGGGGCTTGGCTTGTTGGCGGGCGAGACGCGTGGGAGGGGGCAGCCGGTTCTGCACAGGCCTGACAGGTGCCCAGGCCCTCCCGGAGTTTGCGAAGTGGGCGGAGACTAGGAGAGCGAGGTGGGGCAAGTCCACTGGCGGACGCTGCGTGCTGTGCGCTGACCGCTGGGGTCAAGAGTTCTCTAGGGGGTGCGCGAGACTGTTCTTCCAAATGGCAAATGCAGGGGTGTGGGGTGTGGTCCCCAGGAATTAGGGCTCTGTGTTCTGGGGGTGGGGCAGGGACAGGCTGGAGCAATCTATGTTACCCGTGTGTGGCCCATGTTTGTGAGATGGTGCATCCTTGGCCAGCCATCTGAGGGGTCTGGCCCTTGAGAATGTAGGCAGTAGCTTGCGGCAACGGCTCTTGTGCCCAGGTGCCTTGGTCTGGGTACAAGAAGAGGTTCGTGTGCCTTGAATGATAGCACACAATTGTGATGTGAATTGGGATAGATGTAACTGCTGTGTTTGTGAGTATGGGTACCGTTTCTGTGTGTTGCGCATACGAGTGCTTGCTTACCTGCTCATTGGGAGGAGGAAAGTTGTGCAGTGATGTGTGTGTTGGGGGTGGACATGTGTCGTCCAGATAATTGTGTGCTCCGGGGCTACATTTACTTGTCTGGGTGTGAAGGCTAGGGGTGTGTGCCAGTGAGCTGGGCTAGATCTGGTGGTGGGGGCTGGAGTCTGTATTCAAGTGTATTTGTGTACCTGTTTGGGGCCCACGGGGTTGTGAGGAGAGGTGTGTCCATGACTGTCAGGTGGGCCTCTCGGGTTCAGGTTTGCCCGCCCACTGGGGCAGAAGGGCATTTCCTCTTATGAAGAGGAGGGTGAGGAGCTGAGGGACTGTGGCCTCATCTTAGCTGTCACTTCCAGGCAGGGCCCAGATGGGAGAGCTGAGAGGGAGGTACAAGACTGGGATTGTGTAGTGTCATGACACACCCTCCCCCCAAGAAACCTGCCCTGGGCCTCAAAGGTATAGTATACTGGTTGAGCTTGAGTTCAAATTCTTCCTGTGTGTGACCTTAGGCAAATTTCTTAACCTCTCTGTGCTGAAGTTTCCTCATTCTCTTTAAAACAAAGATGATAATAGAATATATGTCACATGCAAAATATTAAAGAAGTTAATGTGAAACCCCTAGCACAGGGGTTGGGGATTTAGCTCCCTGGCAGAGTGTTAGCTTAGCCTGTGTGAGGCCCTGCGTTCAATTCTCAGCCCTGGGAGGGGGACTGAGGAGTAGTCCCTAGCACATAACTAACTACCTAAGTTACCAGGTAGACACCATCATTGTCATCATCACCTTTTGAAGCCCTGGGACCTACTCCTGGTTCATTTATCTTAGATAAATCCGTTTTCCACTCTGAACCTGTTTCCCCCTGAAAAAGCTAGGTCCTCTGTCCCTACTCCACACCCCAGGCTCTTGCAGCTTAGTTTTTGAGTGGCTTCCTAAGCAATCCAGGGCCCCACCCAAGCTGCCTCCCCCAGGAAAATCCTCCTCCAGTTTCTGTGCCTTCTGCCTTCAGGCCAGGAAAAGGATGGATGGAGAAATTTAATTTACATTTGGTATGCTTATGATAATGGCCACTTAGTGTCGTGGTAGAAAGTGCCAGAGCTGGAGCCAAGCAGGAGAGTCTGACTGCTTTTGTCTGTGACCTTGTGCAGATTTCTTACCCTCCTGTACCTGTTTTCTCAATTGTAAATTAGGATAACAGTTATGCCTACCTCGTGATGGTTAACTTTGTGTGTGTGTGTGTGTGTGTGTGTGTGTGTGGTTTACATGCTAACTTGAATGGACCATTGTCCCCAGATATTTGGTCAAGCTTTATTTTCAATGTTCTGTGAGGCTGGATATATCCTGTGAGTATGTCTCTGGGTGAGATTAACATTTAAATCAGTGGATTTTGAGTAAAGCAGATTACCTTCCCTAATGTGGGTGGGTCTTATCCAATCAGTTGAAGATCTTACTAGAACAAAGACACCCTGCTCCCACCCCCAGCAAGGAATTCTGCCAGCAACTTACATTTGAACTCTACTGAAGCTCTTTTTCAGGCTCCTACCTACCAAACCCCACCTTCAGTGTTTGAACTCACCAACGCTCCATAATCACTTGAGCCAATTCCTAAAAATAAATCTCTTTTTCTCTATGTCCCCATGATATTGGTTCTGTCTCTTTGGAGAACACTAGGTAAATTTCACCTCTTGGTAATAGTGAAGGCCAGATCAATTAATATCCATAAGTATGCCTAGAACGTTGCCTGCTACCTAGGAAGCTCGCCCAAGGTGCTATCTGCTATGATTTAATAAGCATCTACTATGTGCTAGGAACTTTACATGTTTCCTCACTTGCTGCTCAGAGTGATATCACATGGCGGGGGGGGGGGGGGCTGGATTCCCATTTTGCAAATGAAAACCTGAGGTTCAGAGGGGGTAACTGCCCAGAGTCCTGGGGAAGTACAGAATTGAGTGCATGCATAGGGCTCTGTCCTGCTCTGTAATGAAGCTTCCTAGAGTCATGCTTATCTTCCCACCTTGGCCCCATGAGTGCTGGGACCACAGACGCTCCCACCATGCCCTGCTCAAGCATAGAGCCTAGCACATAGTAGATGCTTATTAAATCATAGCAGCTAGCACCTTGGGCGAGCTTCCTAGGTAGCAGGCAATGTTCTAGGCATACTTATGGATATTAATTGAAGCAAGGGTCAGACAGGGTGGACTCAACTGAGGAGGAAAGTTCTCTGGCATCTTGCAGCCTCGTGGAGGAGAGGGAATGTGCCCTTGAAAACTGGAAGGCAGCGAGCGGGGTCCCACAGTCACCTGTGCTCCTCCCTGCCATGAGCCTGATTGCTCCCAGTACCTTCCCCCTCTCAGGAGCTGCTACCATTCACCTGTTGTTCAAGTCCATCATCTAGGGCTCCTGTGCTTCTCTGACCTGCCAGTTTGACCTCCAGAGCCACCAGCTTCTCCCCACCTCCTCTCCAGAAGGCCCCAGCTTCCTACCTGGTCTCTGCTTTCACCTTTACCTGTTCCTGCCCTTCTCCACATCACAGCTAGGGGGCGCTCATACCAAATAATGGACTTGACTGCTTGAATTCCCCCAGGGACTGCCCTTATGATTTGGCCCTTGCCCACCATCCTAACCTGGCTTCTACCCTCTTGTGCCCTCATCCTCACCCCGCACACAAAAACCCCACTGAGTCCATCCTGCTCAGATGCATGGTCACCCTCTGTGCCTTAAACACATCAAGCTCATTCCTCTGTGACACCTTGAACTTCCTGTTCCCTCTGTCTGGGACGCTCCTCTTCCATCTTTCACATGGCTGATCCCTTCTTAGGATTTCTGCTTTATCATCACCTTTCAGCAAAGCCACGCCAATCCTCCACTGTCTCGCTGCTGTCTCAGGTCACTGCCTCCTTCTATATCACTGACCACCCATCAGTTGTCTTGTGGGTTTTCTTGCCTACTGTCACCTATCACCTCAAGAGCAAAGACCTGGGCTGCAGGGCTTTCACCAGCACTGGCCACTGGCTTGTTGAACAGGGGAGTCGACGGAAAAATGAAGGTGTGCCTGAATGAACCCGCCGGGGTCAGGAAAGAGTCTGCCTCAAATTGGGGACATTGAACAAAAGAGGAGTTTTCTTGATGTGGGGCAGAGTGCTGCACACTTTGACAATCCAGAGAGAGCACATGCGAAGAGGTGGCCCAGGAGGACTAAGTGTGGCTTGTGTGCAGCCCAGATAGCCCAGATACTTTAGTTCACATGGAGCGCCAGCTGTCTGCCAGGCACTCTGCGAGGTGTTGAGGTTATAAAGATATATCTGGGGCTGGGGCTGGGGCTGGGGCTCCGTGGTAGAGCACTTGCCTAGCATGCGCGAGGCACTGGGTTTGATCCTCAACACTGCATAAAAATAAGTAAATAAGTTTAATAAATATTAATTTATCAATATATATATTTTTTTTTTTTTTTTCTGAAGCCACATGGTCACCTAGCCAGGGGCACAGCAGGTGCAAGGACCCAGGGTGGGTCTGCTGGCTGCTCATAGGGCTTGTAACCAGAGTGGAGAATCGGGGATGGCAGGGTGATAGGGGTGAGAACAGAGATGTGACTAAGGGCAGGTGAGATGGGCAGCACCCACTGAAAGGGCTGAAGGCCATTTTAGGAATTTTGACTTTCCCTGAGTAAAATGAGCCACCAAAGTGTTCTGAATTGAGGGGTAAATGTGATCATCTGACTTTCTTCTTCTTTCTTTCTGGTACTGGGGTTTGAATCCAGGGGCACTTTACCACTGAGCTACTTCTCCAGCCCTTTTCCAGGGTCTCACTAAGTTACTGGGGCTTACCTTGTACTTGCAATCCTCCTGCCTCAGCCTCCTGAGTCACTGGGACTACCAGAATGCACCACCTCACCTGGTGTGAACTGACTTTGATTATAGAATGATTTTTCTGGTTGGTAAGTGGAGACCAACAGGGGGGAGACCAGTAGGGA